GGTAGAGATTTGCGTCAGGATGCTTGGTCAAGATGCGCTCCCTGCGTGATTCCCCTTTACTTTCTGGGAAAGCTTTTAATAGAACTGACAAGTAGTAACAATAGCCAGAGTTACTGCGGCTGCAAACCCAAGTTCAGAAACAAACAGAAAGAAAACAGCTACACAGTGCTTGGATCCACTGGATTTTCCTCAGATCCAGTGTAACCCCAAACTCAGGGGAGACCACCAGGAAGCCTGGAAATGAAGCTAGATAGATCAGGCTTTCAAATCCTTCAAATGTTATCCTTTATCCTTATTTTATCCTTTAACAAAGTAGCTTGTCCACTTTTAATTAATAGCATAATATAAAAAAAAAAGACAAAACATCTGTCAGTGATTTTACATAATCCTTGCAGGTGTTCAGTTACAGTGTTCTCATTCTAAGTTTAGAATTTTGCAACTTAGAAAATAAAACATAAATGTTGCAAAATGAATTTCCTTATGTTTAGCCTCCACCCTATGAATCTTTCTTCTTCTCCAAGTTCATAAGCAGACCAGACTCTAGTCCTGTGACTACCTGCACGGATTCTTTCATTAACGATAGTATTTTGAGCCTTTTTTTTGGCTCRCAGTTCACACGTTTTGCTTTTCAAAGTTCTCCCCTGTCATGAAGTTAGATCTTACGATAATGGCAGATGGAAATGTGAAAATTTTGTTCAGAASCAGGGACGCTATTAACACTTCGAATGCAACAAGCAAGTCAGGGGGATGAGCTCAGCTCTGCACAGAGGCTGCTGGAGGCAGTTTTCATAGCGGTCTCACCAAGAACAGTTTTCATCCCAGCCTTCCCACAGATGAAGGCAGACAAACTGAGGATAGACGAGCAACTCCAACTGCCTATGGAAGAACGTGGAGTAGAGGAAGAGAGGCCAGGCTCAGGATGATGAGACTCGCTCCTCTGCTGATGAGCTGATCCAGGATTTCTCCTGTGACAGATGAGCCCCTCGGGGGGGAACTGATGAGTAACGTGCTAGAGCTGCACCGCRCAGCAAGGGGTTCTCAGCCACCAAGAAACACGGCCAAGGACACCTCTGGGTAAGCAGACCCTTGTCAACCTCAGCTTCAGAAAAGAGTGGTTAGACTAGCATGCATTAGCACCACTAACACAGAATTTAAAGACTATTTTTTATTATTATTTTATGCAGTTCCATATGAACTACAGACTGCAAGCAGTCTCATGAAACTTGGAAGTGCCAGCTTGATAAAACTAACCAGAGAGAAGATCGTCACTAAATACTGACCACAACCTTATGCCAGTTCCATGTATGGCCTCTCGATAATCMAATGTAAAGCCAAAGCTCAACTGTTTTCAGTCTTGAAAAGACTTGCTGGATTTGCCTGTAATTCCACCATGTGAAATCTCTGTGAGGAACTGTAGTCTAATTGCTCAGAATTCATCAGACAAGGGCATAAGGGACAGTGCATGCAGGGAATAAAGCAGAAGGTTCACAGAAACAGTCTAAACCTTGAAGGAGTCTTGGTAATAAACTCAAACTCCTGCTAACGGGTACAGCTTAAATGTGGTCATGAGTCTTTTTGCTTGCACATGATGAAAGTCCTACCCCTGTGCACAGGATACCAGGTGTTATTTCCCTTCCCCCCAACCCCAACTGCTGAAATAAAAGCTAAAACCAGGCAAATGAGCAAGTGGCTGAAGAAACAACGGCTGAGGCGGGAAGCTCAGATTTTAATCTTTCAGAGCAGGCACAGGCTGCAGCTCAGCAACAGCTTCAAGAAGCCCGACTGCAATCCGACAGTGACAGTTCCAGAAACAGTAACAAGTCCAATTTACAGCTCAGCAAGAGTGGCAAAAACCCAACTGGCAGCCCAGCAAGAATGGCAGCAACAAGCCCAGAAGCAGCTGCTATAGAGACTTCTAACCCAGGTGCAATGCCCTGGGCATTTGCAAATCATAGCCAGAACAAACCATTTCCAGGGGTGTATCTGGCAATACAAATAGCAYGTATTGGGATTATCGTAGAAGAAGGAATCGTCTCAGATTTTCAAATCAGGTGAATATTTTAAAGTTGAAAGGCGCTGGGTGATATTGCTACAACCTTTGAGGATTCAGACCCACCACTTAGATAAACTGCAGATCTGGTGCTTTACGGGAGGGAAATTTTTGTTCCCGAGGACAAAGCAATTCATTGATGCTGGGCACTGGAAAGAGCGGGTAACTCTAGGCTCAAACCTACCAGGGCTGGGATACCAACTATAATCACTACTATGAAAGCTCAGAGACCGAAATTTATTGATATTAGCCCTCATGTTAACAGTTTGCAGAACAAAAAGAAACTCTAGAAGTAGGCTCTTCTGAAGGAATTCTAATCCCGACCTCTCCTAGCCAAGCTCAGCYGAAACACCGAATTGTTTTAGTCCTAAGAGAAAAGATTTAAGTCAAGCAGAGCAGAGATTTWCAACTCATCACAACATTTGAAAGCTTTATGATCAGTCAGATTGCACTTTACTTTGAAAGTAAATTCATTAATGCCTCAACTTAATGCTTTACTGGTTACGGCCCATATGGGAGGATGGCACAYAGAAAGGGTGCTTTGGGAATTACTCCAATGATTTTTGTCAATTGCTAAAGCACTCCAAGATTTCAGACCCTCCCCAGCCTCCGAGCTTTACATCCTCACAGCAAGCAGATCCCCTTCTGGGTACTTGCAATAACCTGTGTCACATCTGCTGCTCAGCAGCGCTGCACCTCCAGTTTCACTCACTTCTCCAGTCTTGGCACCACTCCGCAACTTTCAACCACCTCTTAAGACATTCCTTTCATACCAAAAGAAATTACTCTATTTTTTTCCATTGGGAGGATCATTAATACCAAATGAAGCCTCCTGCATTCCCGAACACTGACTGTCTTGCTCTGTCTACCCCTCATGACCCCCACCCCAACTCTTTTCTTGTAATATCAACTTTTGATTAAGTAAAATCTGTCCTCCCAAACACGGCTTGATTTCCTTACTATCCTTTGGAGAAAGGGCACATTTTGCACCATCCATACAGTCTTACAGAAGGTTTATTCAAGGGGTACAGTCACCTAAAAGAGCTCAGGTCCAAATCACTTGGTTCCAAAATAGAGGTATTGGGAGCTGCATTTCCTGAGTGCACGGAGGTTTTCTACATCATAAGAACAGACTGACCCTGGGAAGGATCTAACAATATATATAAACAGACACCTTCCCTCCCAGGGAGGGAGATGACGTCTGTAAAACTTTCAAGTGTGACAGGGGTATCATAAATAGAGCAAGAACAGCTCTATTCTTGCCAAAACGGCACAGCAGCCAAGACAGGTACAGTGTGGAGCGTGCCTGGAGAGAGGAAAAATGAGAAAGAAACCCTGYGATTTCACAGGGTGAGCTTCTCTGCTGCCCTCTGGTAAACTCTGAAAGGTCTCGTTTGATCCTTACCGGTCAGGACAACAAGCCTGAAAACTAAGAATTCTTTAAAAACATTCTTATTCTATAGCCATGATTCAAGAAGGAACAAAGCTTTAGTTCACCAAAAAGCTAAAATGAATCCCTAACGGGGGCATACAGCATCCTTGCAGAATGGGAAAGTAAAAGGATGGAGTGTCAAGTCTAATTTGGCATTTTTGAGTTTTTGGTAGTGCAAACTCGACCTTTTTACAGACAAAGTAGAATCTAGGCAGAAGTCTTCAATCCTGCGATACATAAAAGAAGAAAGTCTTGTTTATCTAAGCAGAAGACCCCAAGGTTATAAAATCCTCCATCCGTTTCTGCTCGTTGTTAAAACAACATTTTTTTTTTAACAAAGCCTGAAGATGTTACACAACAATATGTAAAGATGCTGGAGCTTTACAACGAGAAGCATTTTTCCCCCCCTCTAACTCCAGAGAGCTGCATATTCCACAAGACACACGGAGGCAAAAACCTGGGAAGGGGGAAAAGGCTCACAGCTCTACCAGGAAGGCAATTCTGAGCAGATTACCATTGATTTTCCATTTACCTGCTGACTGGAAATGAATATACGTYGGGACAACGAGGTCATAAAAAGGACTCCACTTCTTGTTACACCCTCTTGCTACTTTTGTTATCTGCTTGGTTCAGTATTTAAAACACATGGCTCAATATTTAAAAAAAAGGTATTAACACTGTCAATTCTGTCAAGCATAAAAATACAAGCTTGTTCAGTCAATGAGTAAGCATATGGCAGAAGTAACACATTTACATTAAATACTTAGCATGCTTGAAGACAGGATTTTCAAGCCAACCATATAGCAGAGATGTAATGCAAACCTATATAATAACTTCAGTCAGAGGACAAACACTTCAGTCTCTTCACAGAAGCAACTCATTTTGGATAGCATCTGTTTCTTATGAAAAGCCACATACAGTTTTCAGGACCACAAGGTTAAAAAAAGAAAAAGTAACTGTCTTAATCACTAATAAGGCACTTGGCCAAGTGCCACRGCAACAAACGGTACGGAAATGAGTGAACAAAGAAATAGCTCTTCAATAGCTTAAAACATTTGTATCTCCTACTTCTTAAATATCCAAGGGACACCACATCACAGAATAGCAAAGGAAGCAGAACAGTATTTACAGAACAGGGAAAAGATGACGATTACATTTTAAGCCATAACTTCRTCACATGTTTTCCAACTTTCCTTTTAATTATCGTAGCACTTCCTCTGGTTACTCTCCTACAGGTAAATTGCACTTCAGCTTTTAAGAATAGGTAAAATACAAACTGTGAAAGGGTTCAATGTTAGAGGTTGACAGTAACCAAATTCAGACCAGTATCCTCKAGCAAAAAAAAGTATCCACTCAAAAAATTACCAATTTGAAATATTCAAGTGCAGAAATGTTTTCCGTAAGACTAGTTCAAATCTGACATTACAGATCTCATGCAGACAATATGTTACAGATCATAAATCTCTGCTCAGTAAGAAATCAAAATAAATCACACATACCAAGCACGGAGTTACTTACTTTATCAAGAAGAGGTGATTGCTGAGAACTGATCTGGCCTAAACAAGTTCTTAATTTCACTTTAGTCTGCCAGTTGTCTTGTTTCAAATCACAGGATATTTTCAGCTGCACACAGGTATAAAACTGAGCAGTAAATAGTTTCACCAAACCTGTACCAAATCTTAAAAATCTACAAGATCTTTTTGAGACTCATTAACTGCTAGCCTAGTTTCCATCAGAGAAATAAGCAGCTCTGGAATAGCACTCAGCTTCTGCCAGGCTGGTACAACCCAGGAAAGCAAGCGGGGAAATCACTCCAGAGTGATCACTGCTGCTCAGCTCAACTGTCTGCACAAAATGCAGAGCCTACCCCSATGAGTCAAGTCAGGATAATCCCTGCGTGCTGCATCAGCCTATGCATTTTCTTTTCACCATACCTTAAATAACCTCCAGTTCTGCTCGCATTTACGTTACAACAGTTTAAACCTTTTTGATTTGCAAATTTATAACATACGTTTACTGAATCTGTACACCAAGATCCCAAATAATGTCTGCTTTTCCAGAATGAATTTGAGTGCTAAATGAGAAACAGTCCATGGGCACTCTGGGTCCAGAGAACACAACTCAAAACTTTTGCTCAGAAAYTGTAATACATACATTATTTTTTAATTGCAAAAAAGCCCCAGAGTAGATATCTAACTTACCATATTGAGACGACAAGGCAAAACTACCAGAACACTCAGTGACTAACGCCCTACAGAAGTCTACTGCGACAGTCATGTTTGTAATAAAACCATAAATAAGGCAAGGTCTGTGGTGAGGAAAATTAAAATAAAATAAAATAAAATAAAATAAAATAAAATAAAATAAAATAAAATAAAATAAAATAAAATAAAAGCCACAACCAACAAAATAAGAACAGCTTCACTAATTCCATTAGGAAAACGAGGAAAGTGGCATGTCAAAGTTTTTCTGATTTCTCAAAAGTGATTGGTCTAATTCATCAAAAAAAAAGGGGAGGGAGACTCAAAGCAAAAAAAAAAAAAAAAAAAAAAAAAAAAAGAGAGAGAGAGAGAGAGAACACCTCCTCCATAAAAACCTTTTACGAAGTGGCAGAATCACTGTGTCAACGCACTAACATAGCAATAAACCTATTTTATACTGAGCTAACAACACTCTGGCACGCTGTCATTTTAAGGAGGATTTGCTCCGTTCACCACATTCCAGCCGGTGGCCGGGAATCTCGCAGGGAGCAGCAGCACCAGCGGGAAGGGGCAGCTCGGGAGGACCGACCCAGGCCGCAGCGGGGACCGACCTGCCCAGGGCAGGGACTGGGAGCCCAGCAAGTGCTGGCGGCCAGAGAAGTCCCCGGCCATTGAAACACCCGCAGGCAGTCGGATGGGTGCACTTCCCTCYGACATCCTTGTCGTGTTTCCTACTGACACGCTGAAAGACCGTTACACACCTAGACMCACATATATTTATGGTATATGCATAAATAACCGTTGGTATTTGCGTAACTCCCACACCGGAGCCCCTATCACGCGTGACACCGGCACGAACAGGGACAACGGGACACGCAGGGCGAAGGGGACGCTCCCCACGTCGGGGGGTCACCTTGGGCGCCCTGCCAAAGGTGCCGCCAGCGCCGGCATCTCCTYCCCGGGCCCCGCGGCCTCTGCCAGCGCCGCTACCTGCCCCACRGTCCTCGCACCATGGGCAGAGCAGGAGCCAGGCCAAGGCGCACAGGTGACSGGAACACATCAACACACAAAAACGGGAGAAGAGGTTGGCCACGGCCGGCCCGTTAACCGTGAGGGCTGCGGCTGCGGCTCTGGGGGCTCTGCTGCCGCGGGTCGCCCCTTCGGCGGGCGCCACAACCCACGTCGGGCGCCGCGGGCTGCGCGCGAGGCACGCGGGGCGGCAAACGGGCACCGCTGCCGCGGAACGCCTGGAGAAACGGGGGGAAACGGGAAGAACAAGAGCGAGTCGGCAGGCGGGGAAGGGCAGCACGAGTCCCCGGACTCCCCAGTTCCTCCCCGCCGAGCCCCCGGAGCCGCGACCCGGCG